TCCCTTCCACAACAATTACATCAATAATCAACAATTCATCATATATGCTTCATTCTCAAAGGACTACTTTTCATAATCATCATATTTGCTTCACTGTCAAAGCAGTTCATATCATAATCATCATATATGCTTTAATTTCAAAGCAATTCTAATGTATCTCATCAATCCTATAAGAATACATCTAAATCCATTAATTCTCCGTTCATGGCATCAAACCCAATTACTTCAATCTCAACCTAAAAACATGGGTTAAGCATGGATACATGTAAATTCATCCTAAAAACATGTAATCCTATCAATCCAATCATAAACAATCATAACCCAATCGATTGGATCAACATTCATCAAGACCTACAACATTAGAAGAAAACACTAACTCAATGTGGGGAATTTCTACATTTCAATTGGGGAATCTTGGGGAATACATGGAAGAAAAGATTCAATGGATGAAAAACCATCATACCTTGATATCAAACCCCAAAAATGCTTGAGGAATGGAGACTTGACCTTGATCCTATCTTAGGCTCTTTCTTCTTCTTCAAGTTCTAGAGAGAGAAATATTTGGAGAGGAAGAATTTTGGGTTTCTTTTGGTGAATTTGAGAGAATGAGTTGAATGAATTAATTTGGGTGTTGAAATCCTTTATATAGGGGTCCTAGACATGGGCAAAACGACATAGTATCAATATAAAAAAATTTAGGAAAAGATCCAACTACCCCTAAAACTAATTGTCACTTGCCCACCAACAGACCCAGTTGACGAACCGTGGTCAACGGCCCATCCTGGTGGACCGTCGTTGGTCATCAGAAAGTGGAATTTGGGCCATCGAACCATGGGCCCTAACCACGGACCGTGGTCTGACAAACGGTCCGTGTGTAATGTCGTGGTTCCGGACTTCCTGGTCTATCTTGGGGAGCCCATCCATGGACCACTCCTACGGTCCATGGTCCCATCCACGAGCCGTGGTTGGCCCTCGTGGGTTGGCGCGTGCAGCTCACTAAGAGTGCTATTGACCCTATTTTGGATACGGGGTGTTACAATATCTCCCACTTGGGATCATTCGTCCTCGAATGAGATTCAAACTGGTTCTAAAACATTAAGAGAGGAACTAACAACTCAACCTAAAATATAACTTCATCTAAATGAATAGAACCAAGGAGGAACTATCGACTCCAAGCTAGGACGTTATCAAAACATCATAAGAGGGGTGAAACTAACTCTAACAACCCATCATGCATGCCATGCACATATACAAGGAGGAAATATCAACTCCAAGCTATCAATCATACTCAAATGCATCATAAGGGAGTAGGAACTACATCTAGCAACCTAATATGCATGAATTTTCAAAATTACTCATGTTCAAGGAGGAACTACCTTCCCCAAGCTAAAGCATGCTCAACACAATCCCATGAAGCCCATATGCAATTCGTTCTCGAAAGCATAGCTAAAGCATGTTCATCAATTCATCTCATGAAGTCTATAGGCAACTCATACTCAATGCACCACAACATGAGGAAAATCAATCATGTAAACTCATTTTCTTTCAAAACACAAGTTTTCATGAACATGCATAAAATAATAAAATCATGTAAGCATAGAAGACACATGACTCCAAATCAAAGATGAAACCATGAGGAACTCATTACCTCAAGCTAGAGTAGGAGTAAAAAAATAAGGATATCAGGACATCATAGCGGCCTCGGCCTCCTAAGTAGAACCCTCAACTAAATGATTCATCCACAATACTTTCACGGAAGCAACTTCCTTGTTTCTCAACCTCTTAACTTGCCGGTCTAAAATCTCAACCAGAACTTCCTCATAAGAAAGACTCTCATCAACTCCCAATCCTTCTAAGGGAACTATGGATGTTGGATCTCCAACACACTTCTTAAGCATAGAGACATGGAAAATTAGATGCACTGATGCTAAATCATTAGGAAAATCAAGCTCATAAGAAACCTTACCAACACGTCTCAAAATCTGATATGAGCCTACATAACATGGACTATGCTTTCCTTTCTTCCCAAATCTCATCACACCCTTCATGGGTGAAAATTTCAAGTAAATCCAATCATGAACATTAAATTCAAAATCTCTTCCTCTAACATCGGCATAGGACTTTTGTCGACTTTGGGCCATTCTCAACCTCTCTCTAATAAGTCTGACTTTTTCCGTAGCCTCTTGAACTGACTCGGGTCCTATCAAGGAAACTTCACCCACCTCAAACCAACCTATAGGGGACCTACACCTCCTACCATAAATAGCCTCAAATAAAGCCATACCAATATTAGAGTGATAACTATTATTATAAGCAAACTCAATCAATGGCAAGTGATCATCCTAATTTTCCTTGAAATCGATGACGGATGCTCTCAACATATCTTCCAAAGTTTTGATAGTTCGCTTTGGTTGCCCATCGGTTTGTAGATGAAAAGTTGTGCTAAGCTTAACTTTAGTGCCACAATCCTTTTGGAAAGACTTCCAAAACTATAAGTAAAATGAGTACCTCTATCGATGATAATGGACAAGGGCACTCCATGCAACCTTACCATTTCCCTCAAATATAACTTAGCATAATCTTCCGCCAAATAAGAAATTTTAACAGGAATAAAATGGGCTGATTTCGTCATTCGGTCTACTATGACCCAAATCGAATCATTTTGTCGCTAGGTATGAGGCAACCCTACTATGAAATCCATATTCAAATCTTCCCACTTCCAAGTAGGAATACAAACGTCTTTAGATAAACCTCCAGCTTTCTGATGCTCAACTTTCACTTGTTCGCAATTTGGGCACTTAACCACAAATCCTGCAATATCCTTTTTCATCCCATTCCACCAATAGACCTCCCACAAATCACGATACATCTTGGTGGCTCCTAGTGAATAGAATACTGAGCACTATGGGCTTCTGACAAGATCTGTTCCCTCAAGTCATCAACATTTGGAACGCACAAACGACCTTGATATCTAAGTACACCATCTCCCCCTTGGGAGAAAGCCTCAACGGATTTATCAAGCACCGCTTCTTTCAATTCTACCAAAATTGGATCAAGACTTGCTTGGCTTTCTCATCCATTGCAAAAGACGATTCTGAATAATTTTGAATTATGAAACCACCCTTGGTAGAGTCTACTAAGTGAACACCTAATCAGGCAATCTATGTACCTCTCATACCAATTATTTCTTATCTTCCTCTATATGGGCCACACTACCCATTGATAATCGGTTAAGAGCGTCGGCTACCACATTACCTTTATCGGGGTGATTGATAACACTCATATCATAATCCTTAAGTAACCCTAGCCACCTTCTTTGGCGAAGATTAAGATCTTTCTGATTGAACACACATTGCAGACTCTTGTGGTCGGTGAGAACATCTACATGAACTCCATACAAATAGTGCCTCCAAATCTTAATGTCAAAAACCACCGCCGCTAATTCCAGATCATGGGTAGGATAATTCTTCTCATGAGCCTTAGGTTGTCTTGAAGCATAGGAAATAACCTTCCCATTTTTCATAAGAACACATCCTAACCCAATTCTCGAGGAATCATAATAATTAACAAAACCATCTCTCCCTCCCGGTAAAGTCAACACCGGAGCGGAAGTAAGTCTATTTTTGAACTCTAAGAAACTCTTCTCACATAATTCAGACCATATGAACTTGGCCTTCTTTTGTGTCAAAGCTATTAATGGAGAGGCAATGGAAGAAAACCCCTCAATAGATCTTCTGTAATAACCAGCCAAACCCAAGAAACGTCTAATGTCTAAAGGGGATAAAGGTCTAGGCCAACTCTTGACCGCATCTGTCTTCTTAGGATCTACCTCAATACCCTTGCTTGAAACAATATGACAAATAAAAGCTATGGACCTTAGCCAAAACTCACATTGCTAAATTTGCAAAGAGTTGTTGGTCCTTAAGAATTTGCAACACGATCATCAAATGACTGGTGTGGTTATCCTGACTCGATGAGTAGATCAAAATATCATCAATGAACACAATCACAAACATGTCAAGGTATTGTCTAAACACCCTATTCATCAAATCCATAAATGTCGCCATAACATTAGTCAACCCAAACGACATACTAAAAACTCATAGTGACCATACCAAGTTCTAAAAGCCGTCTTCGGGATGTCATCTTCTTTCACCCTCAATTGGTGATAACCCAATCGAAGATCAATCTTAGAGAAATGACTTGCTCATTGAAGCTGGTCAAATAAATCATTTATCCTTGGAAGAGGATATTTTTTCTTAATGGTCACCTTATTCAATTGTCGATAGTCAATACACATTCCGAGTGAGCCATCTTTATTCATAACAAATAAAATTAGAGCACCCCATGGGGAGATAGTCGGTCGGATGAAACCCTTATTCAACAAATCTCTCAATTGTTCCTTTAATTCCTTAAGTTCTACCAAAGTCATTCTATAAGGAGGAGTAGAAATAGGCTACGTATCTGGGAGAAGGTCAATACCGAAGTCTATTTCCCTTTCTAGAGGAATACCGGGTAGATCATCTAGGAAAACATCCAAAAACTAACTAACAACGGGGACCGACTCAAGAGAAAGGGTTTCAAAATCCATATCCCTCACCCATACTAGATGGTACATGAAACCCTTAGAAATCAGCTTTCTTGCTTTAAGACAAGAAATAAACTGACTCTTAGGCATATAATTTCGCCCATTCCGCTCTAGGATAGGCCCATTTGAGAACTGAAATTTGACAACACGGGTTCTATAATCAATAGAAGCATAACAAGAGTGCAACCAATCCATGCCAAGAATGACATCAAAATCTAGCATGTCAAGATCTACCAAATAAACAAGAGTAACTCTATGAGATAAGGAAATAAGACACTTTCTATAAACCCTCTTAGCCACCACAAAAACACCAACATGAGTAGAGACAAAAAAAGATCTAACAACACATCAGGAAGCACATCAAAACTCATAGCCACATATGGTGTCACAAAAGACAAGGTAGCACCGGGATCTATAAAGCATAGACATCAAGTTGAAAGATTTTCATCATACTGGTAACCACATAGGTAGAACCCTCTTGTTCACCACGAGTTTGAAGAGCATAGAACCTATTTTTCTTAGGAGCATTCAAACCCGAGCCACTTGGACCGGATGAAGGATAGGGTTGAGCCCTACGACGACTATCTCCCTCCTTCTTAGAAACTGTAGTACAATCTCTTATCTTGTGATCCATCTTACCACAACCAAAACAAGCATTGGAACCCTCTATACCTTCATGATTTCTTCCACACTTAGCACAATTAGGCAAAGAAGACCCATTACCACCTCCTTGAGGTTTAGGGTTAGACACCTTTTCCTTGTTGAATCTAGGAGCATTAGAGGAACCTTACCCGAAAAACCTTTGTCGATACCTAGGACGACCATGTCCATCAGACCTAGTATGAGAGAAATTAGCATCACCGTTTCTAGGCCTCTTGTTCTCCCTAGATCTCTCCTTAAGTTTCTCCTTTTCAATCTGTTGGGCATGAACCATAAGACGAGAAATATCCTTGTCATGGACAAGAATAGCCGTATAGAACTCTTTTACTACAAAGTCGGACACACGCGAAATGAGCATACTCATCCTTGCCCTAGAGTCGGATACTATAGAAGAAGCATATTTTGAAAATTGAGTGAATTTTAAGCAATATTCTTTCACGCTCATATTTCCTTGTCGGAGATTGATGAACTCAAGCACTTTCGCCTCCCTCGTCTTAAGAGGAAAGAACCTATCAAGAAAAGCAAACTTATACCTTTCCCATTATAGGGGACTCGCATCTGCTGGTCTTGCTTCTTTCCATTGGTTGAACTAAATTTGAGCCACACCTTTGAGTTGATAAGAGGCCAATTCCTCCTTTTCCACCAGAGTCACTCCCATAATAGTCAACACCTTGTAAACCTTATCAATGAACTCTTGAGGATCTTCCTCAACCTTAGAACCATAGAATTCTGGAGGATTCATCCTTGTGAAGTCCCTCACTCTAGATGTCGATGTACCCTCATTTGGGTTCACGGTGTTCGAACATCCCTATTACCTTGGGTCGTCACGGCTTGAGCCAACTTGAAAAGCGGCTCTAAACTCCGCATTAGCCACTTGCTCGGTCAAAGGGTCAAATGAATCTTAAGGAGCTTGAGGAGGAGCTCGTTGACCAACGTCTTCTCCTTTGGTCCTTCTAGCATAGGCCCTTCAAGTAGTCATATCCTATAGACCATTGGGTAAGGATTAGGAGAGAGACCTTATAGAGTTAAATTCTACCGCACGACTTAGAGAAATGAAGAAGTGAAGTTTCCTAAGCATCTTGTAGCCTCTCATTCATAAGATGTGGCGCGCTTAACACTTATGAACAAGACTCTATTAGACGTGGTTTTGAGACATCCTAGAACCATTTTAAACCTTGTGCTCTAATACCCAGTTTGTAACGACCCAGGGGTACCCCCTAGATGTAACATGGCATACAATACCCTGAGAGGCCTCATATAAGCCAATTAGCATTCATAGTCAAGACAATAGAAAATAGGTAAAAATTTAAAACATTTTCAACACAATCAAAGTCTTTATTAAACGAAGCAGAAGAGTAATACACTTGTCTTAAAAACCATCTAATACAATAGAATCATTGGGACACAACCCACACAATAATGTTCAATACTAGATGAAAAGAACATAAGAAAAGTACTGATCACATCCACGAATGCTATGAGGACTCACAAATTTTCAACCATGCCACTAGTATAGATCCTAGCCACGGGGATGAGAGTTGGGAATGTTGGACCCTACATTTGGATAGGAAATGTAGGCAAGAGTATGGGTTAGTACAAAAATGTACTAAATATGATAGCTTGTATAAACATCAACATAAACATAAGAGTTAGACAACATAAGTCATAAAAGCATAATCAATGCACATAATAGATTATTTTAACTTAAGAGGAATACTTCTTGAAGTAACCTCAAATAATCCTTCCTCATCATGGAAGGCAACTCATGCAACAATCCAAGTTCATCACCTATCATAACATAGTCCAGCTTATCTTTTATAGACATGGGGAATCGCCTCTTGCCTTATTATAAAGGAGCATGGGTAGTGGCCTTTAGTCATTCTTTACATTTTGATCATGGGTACTCACCTCTAGTCCAACATCATGTGACATTTTTATCCTCCCATTGTCTTTCTATAAGGATCATGGGTACTCGCCTCTTGTCCAATTTATATCTTAAGAACATTGGTAGTCGCCACTTGTTTAACTTCAAGGAATAAGGGTAATCGCCTCTTATTCTATCCTAAGGAATATGGGTAATCGCTTCATATCTTTCTAATTTAGAGGTCAAGGATAATCTCTTCTAGCTTCATCAATTTCTTAGTCTTTAGCTTAGATTCATTTTGGGTGAGCCATCCTTTCAACCTAGAATCATTCAATTTGAGAAAGACTTTCACATACATACATAAGAAATTCAATTGGGAACTATCCATTCCACAACAATTACATCAATAATCAACAATTCATCATATATGTTTCACTCTCAAAGCACTACTTTTCATAATCATCATATATGCTTCACCCTCAAAGAAACTCATATCATAATCATCACATATGCTTTAATCTCAAAGCAATTCCAATGTATCTCATCAATCCTATAAGAATACATCTAAACCCATTAATTCTCCTTTTATGGCATCAAACCCAATTATATCAATCTCAACCTAAAACATGGGTTAAGCATGGGAACATGTAAATTCAACCTAAAAACATGTAATCCTATCAATTCAATCACAACCCAATCAATTGGATCAACATTCATCAAGACCCACAATATTAGAAGAAAATCCTAACTCAATTTGGGGAATTTCTACTTTTCAATTGGGTAATCTTGGGGACTCCATGGAAGAAAGGACTCCATGGATAATGAGCCATCATATCTTGATATCAAAGCCCACAAATGCTTGAGGAATGGAGACTTGACCTTGATCCTAGTTTGGGCTCTTTCTTTTGCTTCAAGTTCTAGAGAGAAATATTTGGAGAGGAAGAACTTTAGGTTTCTTTTGGTGATTCTGAGAGAATGAGTTGAATGAACTAATTTGGGGGTTGAAATCCTTTATATAGGGGTCCTAGACATAGGCAAAACGACATAGTACCAATATAAAATAATTAGGAAAAGACCCAACTACCCCTGAAACTAATTGTCAGTTGTCCACCAACGGACCCCAGTCAACGGCCTGTGGTCTAACCCACGACCTATCCTGGTGGACCATAGTTGGTCATCAGAAAGTGGAATTTGGGCCATCGAACCACAGATTGTGGTGTGACCAACGGTCCGTTGGTCAGGCCGTGGTTCCGGTCTGTCTTGGGGAGCCCATCCACGGACCACTCCTATGGTCCGTGGTCCCATCCACGGGCCATGGGTGACCCTCGTGGCTTGGCGCCTACAACTCACTAAGAGTGCTATTGACCCTATTTCGGATACGTGGTGTTACAAATAGTCTAAATGGGCTAGACCTTAAAAGGACCCAAAAAATGGCTTCTCCACCAATGTGAGAACTTTCCCTTTATATTAAAACTATCCTAACAAAAAGAAGCAAGTAAACACAGTAGTGAAAAAACCTAAGAAGTGGCTACAATGAGCATAAATCTCACTCGGGACCCTACAGGACGAAGAACCATTGAGAGATCATGGTGGCATCAGATCCATATATGTCTTGAAACGTCTATGCAAAGGAAAACATAGATTAAAAAAATTGAAGCTTTTAAAAAGTAAGTAGAAAAACTTGCAGATGGATGCTAAAACAGTCATTAAAAACAGTGAAATACTAAAAATTATGAAGAAGGGAATGCGTTAAACTTAACCCATAAATTTCTATTAATTTCAACAAATTTGATTTTAGAAATGGAAATGGGCAGGGCGGGTTGATCTTAACCTATAAAAATTTTAACCCTCCCCGCATAGTGTTTTTCTATAACCTCAACCCGCTCTGCCCTGCCCCGTCCCTCCATAAGTTTTTTTTTTTTTTTTAATCTTTTTATTTATTTTGCTATTTACATAGCTGTAAACTTAAAAATTCAGTGGCCATGTTTAAATGTCTGGGTAATTTAAGAGCAAAGATTTAAATTTTTTGTATATAACCATATACTAGTTTGTAATTATCCTTTAGTTGAAAAAAAAAACTAGCTCATAATTGTATTCCCAGAAGCTAATTGCTACAGGGAGCCAGAGGCGAATCCAGATTTCGATGATTGTAGGTGCCGCATGTTTAAATAGGATAAACGGGTCGATTCCTTCTATTTACCGATATTTATAAACGACTTGATCAAATATGCATATTTAGTAAAAAAAAAAATTAGATATTCTAATATTAAATATACGTAAGTAGTTCAATTTTTTTAGTAGTAATAAGAGATTGTATTCTCTAAAACCTTGAGAAAATAAGAGATTCTCCACCTTAAAAATTTGAACCTGTATAAGTCGTCTAATATCATTACTTTATAATATTCATAATTCATTGCCTCAACGTGTTATTGCAAATATATAGTTGAGAGAAAATATAAAAAATTATAGTTTCAACCGAGTCGTCTTCGCTTAAGATATATATTTGAGAGAAAATATAAAAAAAGTATAGCATCAACCTGCTTAGCATGACATAAAAGATCATAAAAACCTTTAAATTAAAAAACCTCCAACATAATAATATGAGACAAGGCACAAGTATCCCTCTAAACTATGACCGACATCCCAAAGACACACTTTAACTAAACTAAGGTCCTATTACCCCCCTGAACATTTTTTTTTGTAATTTTGTATATCTTTTGTCTTACGTGGCACACTCCGTGACTCCACACAATTGAGGCACGTGGGAGATATTTGGGTGCCACGAAAGCCAAAAAGGTGCACAAAATTACAAAAAAAAAATATTTCAAGGGGTAATGGGACCTTAGTTTAGTTAATGTGTGTCTCTGGAATTTCGGACGTAGTCTAGGGGGGTACTTGTACATTTTCCCTAATAATATTCATCATTTTTAAAACTTTATTTTTTTAAATTTAAATACTATTAAAATATATTTTTATTAATATTTATACGATATTCAAAATTTGATACTCATTAATAATTAATATATAGAATACACAAGCAATGCTAATATCAAGAGACAAATACTAGTGAAAGAGATTTTTTTTAAAAGAATAGGAAATAATTAAAGTAAAAAATAGTCAATTGGATTAATAAATGCAATAATAATAGCAAATAAGGAAGAACTAAAGGGAAACAAAAATTGAAGCCTTGCACACATTAATGAAAAATGAAAGGCAAAAAAATAGTGCAGACAAAGGGTTTCAAACCCTTGACGCCAGAGTGGTGGATTCAACCTTTTCCCAGCCGCACCATTAAAGGTTATGGTTCATGGGTGGCAAACTTAATATATGATCAATTTTTCATACACACACATATATATAGATATAGATTGGGCATATCTATATCTGACGATGCTTATGGTCCAAAAATTCCCCTTTTGTCAATACTTTAGAGTCCTATAGGTCATGACAATTATATTGGGCATAAATAAAACCCTTAGCATGTGCGTACAAATCAACCA